TTTCTTTTGAGACAGAATCTTGCTCTGTCACCCAGGCTGGAGTGCAGTGGGGTGATCTTGGCTCACTGTAGCCTGTGCCTCCCAGGTTCCAGCTATTCTCCTGCTTCAGCCTCCTGAGTAGCTGGGATTACAGGCGCACACCACCACGCCCAGCTAATTTTTGTATTTTCAGTAGAGACAGGGTTTCTCCATGTTGGTCAGGCTGGTCTTGAACTCCTGACCTTAGGTGATCTGCCTACCTCAGCCTCCCAAAGTGCTCGGATTACAGATGTGAACCACCACACCCAGACACCTTTTGCATTTTCATCTTTGTTTTACAGTGACCAAAATAAACTAGATCAGCAGGGCATGGGCATAATTACGAATGCACACTCCACACACATACACTAATGTGTGGCTCATGTTCAAGTATCATTTACTACGGGGTTGATAAAGTGACAGAGGAACTCAAGCATTCTGCTAATGTGCCCTGGCTGTTCCAATTCCAACCCTTGCTTTTCTGGGCCGTGTCACACAGGCTCTTCCCCCGTTCCCCCAGGGACAGTCTACCCTTGAACTCCACACTCCACTGCTGCCTTTGCCAGAAAGCCCATCTGTTCCTTCTTGGTTCTGTCAGAACGTGTGATGGTGATGCTGTCCCTGCCCTGGGCACTGGATGTTGGGAAGGGACAGTGTCCACGCTAGAGTGGGAAGTCCCCAGGGACTAGACCTTTACTCCTCACCCCTGGATACTTTCATGGGGCATGGCTGGTGCCACCTGAACTCAGTGATGGCATCTGTCTGCTGCAGTAGCTGTGACCCAGGGATGTGGGGTCCACCCTCCCCAGCCCTCTAGCCAGTCCTGATGGGCCTCACTCCTGACATGGCTTAAAGGTCTGGGCAGCTCCTGACTCAGACCCTGAACTGGAAATCACCTTAAGTCAGTGGCTCTCTGGATATGTTCAAAGTGGCTGTAGGTGAGTTTATCTTCCAAGTGCTGCATCTTCTTTGGGTCGGGCAGGATGAAGAAGGCAGTGGCGTTACCCACGTAGTGCTGTGCCAACACCCAGCTGGATAACTCCTTGTCCCGGTGGACGTCAAATCTCCCCAGGCGGTTTATCATAGGCACTCTGATGATGGTCTTATCATCCACATGGAAGCCTTCTAGCGTAATGCGCTCAGCCACGAATTTATCTTTCCATTTGCCTGGAAAGAAAGGATGGTGGGCATCAGCCAGGTATGGGATAAAAGGCTGGAAGTGTGTGTGAATGAAAAGAGCCCTGAGTCCCTTTGGTGAGACACTTCCCTCTGCTTCAGCTTTATCCTCTGTAAAATAGGATTCGAATGAAACTATTCACTGCTGGACAGCTTTTGTGAGAATCATCTGAAGATAAAGAAGAATCCAGAGTTTCTACAGACTTGAACTAATTGGCAGAATCCTGGCACCACAGAAAAAGCTTTTATATTTGGCTTTGTTTATTTGATAGTGGCTCGGGGATGGTTAAGGAAAGCTGATGAGCAAAGTCGGAACTCCGAGGCCTTGCCACCTTTGGCTGGAGGCTTCCTGCCTCACGCAGAGGGCTGGTTCCCTCAGCAACAGGCGACAGCATTCTGCTTACTACTCCTGAGGCCTTTCCCTGGATCAGCAGGGGACATGCAGGTGCCTAGGCAGCCTCCTGTCTGCCATACCAAGAGAGCTTCACCATCAAGGCATGCAGAGTGGGCAGGCGCCTCAGGGACCCCTGAGCCCAGCTTTCTCATTGGTCAGAAGGAGGAGAGTGAAGCTGAAGAGGGACAGGGCCTGCCCTAAGGCCGCAGCAGAGCTGGGACCTCAGTTGTGCTGACTGCAGCCTGGCTGCTCCCCACTGCCCTTCTCTGCCTCAAGAGCAAGGGAGCCTCAGAGTGGAGGAAGGAGCCCTGGGCTTGCCTCCCACCTCCCCTCCCCCAGGCTATTTTCCTGGGACAGTAGGAGCTGGCTTAGAATGCCCTGGGGCCCCCAGGAGTCTGACATTGTAACCCCTGAGGAGCAGGAAGGCAGCTGAGGTACAGAAGAGTCCCTCACCTGCTGTATGCCACACACCGTCCCCACGATCTTTGTCACTTGTTTAATCCTTAAAAAGCCTGACAGCAAGGGTGCTATCTTGTCCATGCTAACATGGGAAATCAGCACCTCAAAGAGGTAGAATGCAGGATTTGAACCCCAACATTTCAAACCACAAAGCTCACACTGCTTCTGGGACGCTGGAGTCATCTAAAGTATGCTCCATGAAAGTATCCTGTCATGCATGTGCCACAAAATATTGTTCTGGCTCTACTGTGTGGGAAGCATTTCATAATCTGTCTCCTCCCTGCTAGGGATCTCCAGAGTATTAGGACAATAACACTCATTATTAATAGTGAGTATGCATTATTGCAGTAATTAATAATGCAATAATTAATAATGCTCTGACAAGGTCTGTAGGGGAGATGATGGTTTGGCTGTCTTGAACTCATCCTTCTTCTGTCTTATTTGACCATGCAAAGTATTTTACTGTTTGTGTTTGGAAAAAATGCAGAATCCATGTGAAATGCCCTGCCATATCTCACTGTGTAGGAATGCTTAAGAACTAGCAGTTTGAGACTATGCTCGGGTTATTTCAGTGGAACGGGCTTGGGCAGGTGGTGCTACCTTACCGTGAAACGAAAGGTAATCCACCAGGGCAAGACTGGTCTCTTTTTTCAGATGTTTGAGCAAATCCACTATTTTTCTTGCAATTCTCTTCTCCACATAATTATTCATCTGCTCCTTGGCCTCCTCGGTGTCCCTGAAGTTGATGGAGAAGGGTTCTGAGTGGTATAGCCTCTTGATATCCTCCAAAAACGTGTCTGCTAGCTTCACACTCTTGTTGATGAACAGGCTACTGCCGGCGGTCAGCTGGAGCTGGCTGTTCGGCCTGCTGAAGGTTTGGAGAAATTGCTGGAAGCATTCATGGATCTTGGGCTCAGGCATCTCTGTGACGTTGAAATTCAGGCCTTCCAGGATCTCTGTGCGAGTGTCAGCCTTGGACCCCAGGGAGAGCATTGCAAAGTCCATAGCCACGCTTGCTGGGGCAACTAGGATATTGCTGGGTTTTGATAGATCAGCCAGCTCTTTGTACAAATCGAAGGTGAAGTCGGTGATGTTATGGGACACCTTCTGGCAAGCAGGGTCCTCCCAGGCCCCTTGATCACGGTGGGAGGCATGCATCTCTGGGACATCATCTTCCTGGGGATCCTCAGCCAGGGTGCCAGGGACTAGGCAGCACAGGCCTGCCAGCAGGAGGACGCCCCATGAGACAGAGAATGTCATTGTCCTGCAAGACAGAGACGGGGGCGGGGCCAGGCCCCGAGTCAGGGCACACGATGACTCCCAGTCACCAGGATTGACACTGCGTGAATGCAACCGTGCATTATTAAACATCCATCATGTGCCCAGCCCATTGCAAGCACTTTCCTACACCATCATCACTGAAAGAATGAGAAAGACAGCAAGCATGTATAAGGTACTTAGCATATGCCAAGAACTGTTCTAAGCACACGCGTGTGTTAACTCATTGCTTCCTTGTAACAATCCTTTGTGGCGGTAATGCTACTATCCTCCTTTTACAGAGGAGGAAACCAAAGCCCAGAGAGGTTAGGCTCATGTCCAAGGTCAGCAAGCAGGAAAAGCCAGCATCTCTCACCCTGGCAGGCTGGGTCTTGAGTGCTTGCTCTCCACAATTCCACTTACCACTGCAATGACCTTGAGGTGCACATCCCACAGCCCCATTTTATTTTACCTTATTATTTTATTTTACATTAGTTTATTTTTTGGAGACAGAGTCTGGCTCTATCACCCAGGCTGGAGTGCAGTGGCATGATCTTGGCTCACTGCAACCTCTGCCTCCCAGGTTCAAGTGTTTCTCCTGCCTCAGTCTCCTGAGTAGCTGGAATTACAGACGTGAACCACCATGCCAGACTAATATTTTTGTATTTTAGTAGAGATGGGGTTTTGCCATGTTGCCCAGGCTGGTCTCGAACTTCTGACCTCAAGTGATCCTCCCCACTTGGCCTCCCAAAATACTGGGATTACAGGCGTGAGCCACCGCACCCGGCCCCTATGTTAGAAAAGAGGAAACTGGGGCACAGGAAGCCTAAGGGACTTGCCCAGAGTTACTAAGGAAGTGGTTAAGTCAGGATCAGCATCACACGACTTCCACAGATCACAACAGTCCTTAGAGATCTCCACCGGCTTCCCTTATTTAATGGACAGAGAATCTCTGTCCCTAGAGGGACAGGATACTGTGCCGTGACGCATGGCCAGAGCTCAGAGGCGCTGTGTAAACGCAGCCCACCTGATTTCTGCCCAGGCTTTCCCCAGATTCCTCACACTTCATGCATTTCCCTCTCCTCCCAACTGTGGCAGCCTTCACTTTACAGGACCCTGGAGCCTGTACTGAGTATTGTCTGAGCCCGGTGACATTCCGGCCTTGGAAATGCTGCTGCTGATAAAGGTACAACAGCCCTGTCCTCCCAGAGGCAGTCACAGGCACTGCCTTTGGTCTAAAGGTATACCATGAAATCTCCATTTTTATAAGATGGGAAAGGTGAACTCAGAGCGGTTCAGTAACTTGCCCAAGGCCACACAGCTGGTCAAGCAGAACCGAAGCCACCAGGCCACCAGCTGCTGGCCAAGTGCTTTGTGTAGAGCTGTAGTACAGCTTCCTCGGAGGCTGTGAACCTGGATGCTGCCCTTGGCCAGGCCTGGAGGACATCAGGGCTCCTGATCCTGGCTGCGTGGACATATTGGATTGGGCTGGGCTGTGCTGGGGGGACTCTGCCGTGCATCCTAGGATGTCTGACAGCATTCTCAATAAAACCAGTCATGTAGTGACCCTCAACTCATGGGGTGGTGATAAACCATCCCCTGGCCCTGCTAATGCCCCCTGTGGAGCACCCCTGGGGCGGGGGCTCAGATCACCCTGGCTGTCTTGAAGGCCTCCTTTTCCCTGATTGGACAGAAGCTTCTCTCCTTTCAGAGTGGGCTTAAGTCAAGTGAGGCCCAGCTGCATCTGCCTGGGCCCGGGCCGTGTGAGAAGTCCATTCCTTTGGGATAGGGGCCCCGTTTGGTGTCCCCAGGATTGCCTTGTGCCTGCTGTCCCAGGTCTCAGGAGATTGGATCCCAGTTCTCCGTAAGGAGATTGGCCGCACACCACAGCCTGTTTCTAGAAGCAATCGCAGACATCAGCTTTCATCTAAAGTTATGTCTTGTAATCTACGTTTTTACATGATGGAAAGGTAAACTCAGAGTGGTTGAGTAACTTGCTCAGGGCCACACAGCTGGTCAAGCAGAACCAGGAGCCAACAGGCCACCAGGGCTGTTGTGTTGAGATGGAGTTCTGTCACCCATAAGGCTCCTCCCTGACCCAGGGCTTAACGACAGCCCCCAGGGAGAGTCAGGGGCTGTGTCTACTGTGGAGTCACTGGAGCCCCAGCCCCTGGAGCCCGTCCTGGACGTGCCCTACTACTAGTCTGGGGTCCCTGCCACACACATGGGCTGAGGCAGCTGCTCTCAGCTCAGGGGAGACTAAGGCATTGCTGGTTGAGCTCTGGGCCCAACAGCAATAGGAACCTGAGAGCTCGATCTCTCCAGAGTAACATGAGTGTGTGGGAGAGAAAGTGGTGACAATAGACCTCGTTTCTCATCCAGGCTCCGTCACTCACCAACGATGTAAGCTCAGAAAAATATTTTCACCTCTCCCTCCTCATTTTGAAATGGGAATAGTGGGAGAACTAAGTGAAATAAATAAACGTAAAGCCCGACAGTGGGAAGGGAACTCAGATGCAGCGTTTGTAGGGAGGAGGGAGGTGAGTTTCACAACCAAAAGACTTCAGGACCAGTGAGAGAGCCCAGCAGGTAGAGGAGCGGGCCAGGAACCAGGTAGGAGAGGGAGGAGGGGACTGAAGAGGTTGTCAGGCCAGCAGAGGAGTTAATGAATTCGCCTCTCCCCTTCAGGCCAGGAGTCCTAACCAAGAAATCAAGGGAAAATGCAGGAAGTGGGGCCCGGACAGCAGTGGGAGAGAACATGGTGTCCTCTGGAATGTGGGTAAC